TTGATTGCAGTGTCATGGATTGAAAATAACATAACAACATGACGGCCTCTGTTTGGTTTTTGTGTGGAACATTTTCACTCTGAAATTTGTCAAAAGGAAAATTTTGCGTGTTTACGGTAACAAGTATCTGAAATTTGTTTTTATTTCATATCAAAATTTGAGATTTTTTATCGCCAAGGCTTGTGAAAATAAAGACTTCTAACTATCGTTTTCATAACATAGCCCATGAAATTTATTCTACGTGTAGATGTGATATATGATTTAACGGCGATGACAACTATAAACAAAGTGACAACTACCGGAAGTACCCATTAAATCAATTACATACCCTATATACATGACTGATCACGACATGAGGTCAAAGTTCACCGACAACATCATTGACCCCACCAAAAAGTATAACCTCTTGGAATCCCGCCAATTTTTCGACTGTCTAGTATACATTGAACGCTGTAATCAAGCGTCGTTACTTTGACGGCACTTCATCGCTGACATAGTCGAATTTTATCAGTATTGACCAGTATTACATCAATATGAATAGAATCCTTTTCCTTGTGTTAATTTCGTGTGTGGTGGTCTTTATCAGTGCCCAGTACTGGAACCCTTACAGTTATGGCGGATACCAAGGTTACGGACAAAACTATTACACATCACCGTATTACGGCGGAAACGGCTACGGTGCCGGGTACAATGGTCTTGCTGCTGGATACGCATATGGTTATTCACAAAACAATGATAGGTATCTATATTATGCATGTAAGTAAAGTCAAATACCTTTGAATATATCTGAGAGAACATACAAAGTGGGCATATATTTGGGGTTTTTTTATCATTTTTACCTATTTATTGTGTTGGGATTGACTTACCGTACAAAAATTGTTTTCGTCGGATCACGCTTCCATGAATAAATAAATGAATAAAAAAATAGCATACCTTGTCTGTCAATAGAATACACTGCATTTTTTTGTAAAATAATTTCACTTAAATGATTTTCACGTGACATACCTATTCAATATTTTTGCATATTACAAACGTGTAAAATTGCTTTTGTGACGTCATAATGAAATGTGTCGCATATTCACACATTGCGTTGAAAGTTAAAATGTAGACCAGAGATATCGAGCGCACATGACATCGAACTGATGAAGAACTGTCCGGTGATAGATACATGTTATGTAATGTGATTTATGAAACTCGTCACACAACGAGCCAATGATAAATTGTTAAATTTGTTCAATAAATCAATGTATTAGTGGAGTTATCATGTTAGTGTCAGTTTCGTCATTCATTTTATTTTCAGTGGCTTTTCTCTTGGCACTATGGGCTCTCAACATTTCCGGAATACGAGGTTAATGGAAGTCGCGAATCAGCTTACGGACTATTGCAACACAGGTAAGCAAGAAAATTTAATCATGTAACTACGTACTTCATTTCTAATTATAACCAAATTCTTCAAAAAAAGTATTTTTTAATATATAAGAAAAAAGATAATCGCATCTTTTAATGCAAATTTACACATTTTACAATAGAGTCAAACAATGAATTAAAATAAATTACACAGATGTTTCGACCTTGTTAAATTAGTCGGTGATGATTTGGCTCTAAATTTAGGATTAAATATTGTACAGTATAGATCCAAGCACTAAATTAATCTTCATCACACATATGTTTGTCCTTGTAGGATTTTTGGGGCCTTCAGTTATCTTTTTCCCTATAGAGATCAAAGATATAATTATTTATTACCATTACATATGATACTATAAAGGCTGGTTTTAATTAACGCATTTAATGTTCAACATTTTTGTTTTTTTGTTTCACAGATACAGGAGAAAGAATTCATCGGAGGGTTACACAACGTTTTATTATCGATAATAAATCATGTCTCCATATACCATGTAGTCTATGTTCTGTACCGACAATAATAGATAAGTTCTAATGAATAACCGACATATTACTTATCCGAACCTTGTAAATTAAACAATACCACAGAAAAAATATAGAACGGTAACATAGAAATTCCCGTTAGATTCCAACCTGTCTGTTATAATGAATATTCTACTACACGAGACAAATGTCTATTCTGTTCAACAACTGCATTTCATATTTGGTGTCATTATGACAATTTGATATGTTGTCTGTTGGTGTTTTTAATTTGACAAGCTAAGAAAATATCTGCAGTTAAAGGGCTAATGTACCTACCCACGTTAATGCGTTGAAACGATTAGGACAAACTCTGGGGTCATTTTGATGTCACTTATTTGACGATTCTTTAATGATAGGATTTGAAATTCGTCCTCAGCATTCCTTCGTTCCCAGCATCCCTTTTACCCTTGCATCCCTTCTGCCCTTGCATCCCTTCTGCCCCAGCATCTCTTCATCTTCAGCATTCCTTCGTTCCCAACATCCCTTCGTTCCCAGCATCTCTTCTACCTGAGCATTCCTTTGGCCCCAGCATTCCTTCTATCCAACATCCCTTCGGCTCCAGTATCCCTTCTACCCTAGCATCCCTTCTACTCCAGAATCGTTTCGGCCCCAGTATCCCTTCGTTCCAAGCATCCCTTCGTTCCCAGCATTCCTTCGACCCCAGTATCCCTTCTGTCCAAGCATCCCTTCGTCCCCAGCATTCCTTCGGTCCCAGCATCTCTTCGGCCCAAGCATCCCTTCGACCCCAGTATCCCTTCTGCCCAAGCATTCCTTCTTCACCAGCATTCCTTCAGCCGCAGCATCCCCTTCTGATCAACAATCTTACCAAATTCAACAAATTCACAATTATCTGTGGTTATCATTTGAGGAAAAAATAAATTGTGTCTTCATGTAACAGTCGGTGTGCTTTTTGCTCCTGCAGCTTGAAAGTCCTTAGCAAATTCCGAGGTGCTCCATAATTCTGTTTGGCAACATCTTTTGATCTATTTTTCCCCTTTCTTCTCTTCTATTTAGTTCTTAATACAGTGTATACACGTCGATCTTAAAAGCGAATCACTATTGCCAATATCTATGTTATTCGTAATTATACCGGATTATGTTCCAGAATTGCGTTGCATAATCCAAACTCATATTCAATAAAATTTAGCAAACATGTACATAAGAAAGATTTACACGGAGACTCATGAAAAAAATACAAGGAGAATAAGACCAAGTGTTCCGGAAGAGTACGCGCCCTCTGCTTCATCAACGACACCTGCAATATAAACTTTGTTCGATCCAAGCGAATAATGTCACGTTCTCAAATAAAACAACGGCCAAACAGACAAACTAACATCAAACACGTCCAGTTTCATATCGCATGAAGAAGTTACTGCAAATGAGACAAAAAACAGATGTAAAAATAGATAGAATATGTGCATGAAAAACCCTAAGAAGAATGCAACTTAAACAAAAACGGCAACATAAGTGTACAAGATGAATAAGTCCACGTGTACCGGAAGAGCAAGCGTTTGATGCTTCGTCGACGTCACCTGGTAGTTTCCTAAAATAAACACTACGTTTGGTACAATTTGGTAAATATTACGTGATACCATTACAAGATAAAAACAAAAATCATAAATGAACGCAACTGTCAAATAGACTTGGTTTGTAATGTCTTCTGTCTCCCCCATACAATCTTGAAAATAAACAATAATAATTATATATCATGGCTTACTTCAAGATCGTTTTACAATCGAGGTGTTTGGAGCTGGAGTCCGTGTACAGCGGATGTTTAACATTTTCTTTAAATTGTCTCCCATGGGTACAACAGACTTTGTTTTCTGTCTAAAAATGTTCAATAAAAGTACATTAAGGAGGAAAATATATGACATTTCACAACAAAACGGAAAATACCTAGATAAAAGTTTCGTTAGGCAAGTACATTAACATGCATTGTATTTCAATACTTTCAATATTGAAGTTTAGGTTTACACAACATTGATATTGTTGTGGTGGTTCAATAGCATTATTTCATGGTGTTTTTTTTTTTTTTTTTTTGCCATTTCGCCTTTTCTAACGTTTCTAACGCAAAAACCGCCGCTCGTTATAACAACGCATAAACGCGAAAAGACGAAAACGCGACAATCGTTACGCGAACATGAGAGTTTTTTTCAAGTACAAAACGACGCCTTTTTGTGCTCATTTTGTCGCCTTTCCGCGTTTTCATTTAGAAAATGAAAGGCAAAAACCCGCCGCCACCATATCATTTTCTAATATTGTTTCACTTGTTTATTTATACTTAAACAAAGTTGTCTAGGAACAGCCAGTGTTATTTTGTGGCGAGGTCTACTTGGAGTAGCTGGTGGCCAGCTCAAAGAACAACATACGGCAGGCTCGTCGCATTTCACCAAGATTAAAATTATTAGGATAAAGTGTCTTGCCCTAGGATTCAAAACTGAAAATCGTAATTATCGTGGCTTACTCTAACACATTTGGCCCTTTTGATAGCATAGTCATGTACATGTATTCTTTACACTGAAATCACTCAATATTGAAAATTATGAAATGTGATCTCTGACATTTGGTCTACTTTTTATTTTTCTCATCATTTTCTAGGATTTAACAGCTTTGGTTATTTTGTATCACAGACAATCCTAGAAATTCTACATTTTGTAATACTAATGCATCTGCTTGTACTTGTTATTCTAAATTTGTACTGAAAAGTGTCATTCACTTGTGAGTTTTTAGTACAAACTTCCTGCAAACTAAACTATATTACATGATATTGTTTTTTTTTCCCAAATAAGCTCATCAGTTGTAGCGTTACAATGATGTGTATGTATAATGGATTGAATATGAGAACTACTGACAGAAATGAAATATACAGGAACTTCCGGGAACTCGGTTACTCTTCCTTTTGAGTGACCGATCACAACTTCCGGTTTGAATATTATAACCATAGTGACCCAACAAAGGTATGACCTTCTGGAATCTTGCCAATATTTATTTCACTGACCTAGATTTCTGCTGGCCGTCACTATGGAGGCAGTTCATCTGCCATCGTCAGCATTAACACAGAAGAAGAAATTGTAAACATGAATAAGCTCCTTTTCGTTGTGTTGTTTTCCTTTTTCGTGGTGTTTATCGGTGCCCAATACTGGAACCCGTACACTTATGGGGGAAACTATTCGCCATATAATTATTACGGTGGCGGAAGTGGCTTTGGTTATGGGTACGGTGACAGTTTAGGTCCTTACAACAGAAACCAACAAGACGATAACAAATACTTATACTACGGATGTAAGTACATTATAAATACTGACCGCTCGTGCAAAATGGACACTATCAATCCATTTAGATAGTCATTGACTATCCTTTCAAAAATCAGAATTGTTCAACAAGATTTCGTGTAATGGAAATAATCTCATAAAAATGTCTGCATGATTTTATGGAAAGCTATCAATATTTGTCTTTATATTTTGAACTGTCGGTAACCTTGATATATAATTTTCTTTTCATCACATATAGTCGTATCTTTAAAATAATAATTTAAGAAAAATTATTTTGAAATGAGGAATTATAGGGAATTTGAAGATGAAGAAATTATATTATGTATAATTATAATATTTTTTCATATGGAAATCAACATTATGTATTAACTTAATTTTTTTCAGTCTTATTCCTGTTTGCTCTCTGGGCCCTCAACATTTCAACCTTCACAGGCTGATTACTTGTAAATCACCATCGACTTCCGGACCGACATATTGGAAGGTCAATATCACTCTACATGTGTCACATCATCAACATTATCAAATATCACTCTACATGTGTCACATCATCAATCATTATCACAATATCACTCTACATGTGTCACATCATGTCATCATCACTCTACATGTGTCACACATTTATCACAATATCACTCTACATGTGTCATTATCATCATCACTCTACATGTGTCACATCATCAACATTATCATCTACATGTGTCACATCATCAACATTATCACAATACCAGTCATCATTCTGCATGGTGTCACATCATCAACATTATCACAATATCACTCTACATGTGTCACATCATCAACATTATCACAATATCACTCTACATGTGTCACATCATCAACATTATCACAATATCACTCTACATGTGTCACATCATCAACATTATCACAATATCACTCTACATGTATCACATTATCACAATATCACTCTACATGTGTCACATCATCAACATTATCACAATATCACTCTACATGTGTCACATCATCAACATTATCACAATATCACTCTACATGTGTCACATCATCAACATTATCACAATATCTCTCTACATGTGTCACATCATCAACATTATCACAATATCACTCTACATGTGTCACATCATCAACAATATCACAATATCACTCTACATGTATCACATTATCACAATATCACTCTACATGTGTCACATCAGCAACATTATCACAATATCACACTACATGTGTCACATCATCAACATTATCACAATATCACACTACATGTGTAACATCATCAACATTATCACAATATCACTCTACATGTGTCACATCATCAACATTATCACAATATCACTCTACATGTGTCACATCATCAACATTATCACAATATCACTCTACATGTGTCACATCATCAACATTATCACAATATCACTCTACATGTGTCACATCATCAACATTATCACAATATCACTCTACATGTGTCACATCATCAACATTATCACAATATCAGTATCACTCTACATGTGTCACATCATCAACATTATCACAATATCGCTCTACATGTGTCACATCATCAACAATATCTCAATATCACTCTGCATGTGTCACATCACCAACATTATCACAATATCACTCTACATGTGTCACATCATCTACATTATCACTCTACATGTGTCACATCATCAACATTATCACAATATCACTCTACATGTGTCACATCATCAACATTATCATAATATCACTCTGCAGGTGTCACATCATCTACATTATCACAATATCAGTATCACTCTACATGTGTCACATCATCAACATTATCACAATATCACTCTACATGTGTCACATCATCAACATTATCACAATATCACTCTACATGTGTCACATCATCAACATTATCACAATATCACTCTACATGTGTCACATCATAAACATTATCACTCTACATGTGTCACATCATCTACATTATCACAATATCACTCTACATGTGTCACATCATCAACATTATCACAATATCACTCTACATGTGTCACATCATCAACATTATCACAATATCACTCTACATGTGTCACATCTTCAACATTATCACAATATCACTCTACATGTGTCACATCATCACACATATCACTCTACATGTGTCACATCACACAATATCACTCTACATGTGTCACATCATCAACATTATCACAATATCATATCACATCATCAACATCTACATCTGTGTGTCACATCATCAACATTATCACAATATCACTCTACATGTGTCACATCATCAACATTATCACAATATCACACTACATGTGTCACATCATCAACATTATCACAATATCACTCTACATGTGTCACATCATCAACATTATCACAATATCACTCTACATGTATCACATTATCACAATATCACTCTACATGTGTCACATCATCAACATTATCACAATACACATGTGTCATCATCACTCTACATGTGTCACATCATCAACATTATCACAATATCACTCTACATGTGTCACATCATCAACATTATCACAATATCACTCATCAACATTATCACAATATCACTATCACATCATCAACATCACACATGTGTCACATCATCAACATTATCACAATATCACTCTACATGTGTCACATCATCATCATTATCACAATATCACTCTACATGTATAAAATTATCACAATATCACTCTAAATGTGTCACATCATCAACATTATCACATTATCATTATCACTCTACATGTGTCACATCATCATCATTATCACAATATCACTCTACATGTGTCACATCATCAACATTATCACTCTACATGTGTCACATCATCAACATTATCACAATATCAGTATCACTCTACATGTGTCACATCATCAACATTATCATAATATCACTCTACATGTGTCACATCATCAACATTATCACAATATCACTCTACATGTGTCACATCATCAACATTATCACAATATCACTCTACATGTGTCACATCATCAACATTATCACAATATCACTCTAAATGTGTCACATCATCAACATTATCACAATATCATTATCACTCTACATGTGTCACATCATCAACATTATCACAATATCACTCTACATGTGTCACATCATCAACATTATCACATTATCACTCTACATGTGTCACATCATCAACATTATCACAATATCACTCTGCATGTCTCACATCATCAACATTATCACAATATCACTCTACATGTGTCACATCATCAACATTATCACAATATCACTCTACATGTATCACATTATCACAATATCACTCTACATGTGTCACATCATCAACATTATCACAATATCACTCTACATGTGTCACATCATCAACATTATCACAATATCACTCTACATGTGTCACATCATCAACATTATCACAATATCACTCTACATGTGTCACATCATCAACATTATCACAATATCACTCTACATGTATCACATTATCACAATATCACTCTACATGTGTCACATCATCAACATTATCACAATATCACTCTACATGTGTCACATCATCAACATTATCACAATATCACTCAACATGTGTCACATCATCAACATTATCACAATACCAGTATCACTCTACATGTGTCACATCATCAACATTATCACAATATCACTCTACATGTGTCACATCATCAACATTATCACAATATCACTCTACATGTGTCACATCATCAACATTATCACTCTACATGTGTCACATCATCAACATTATCATACTATCACTCTACATGTGTCACATCATCAACATTATCACAATATCACTCTACATGTGTCACATCATCACATATCACACACATGTATCACATCACAATATCACAATATCACTCTACATGTGTCACATCATCAACATTATCACACATGTGTTATCACAATCATCACAATATCACTCTACATGTGTCACATCATCAACATTATCACAATATCACTCTACATGTGTCACTACATGTGTCACATCATCAACATTATCACAATATCATGTGTCACATCATCACATTATCATCACTCTACATTATCACATAATATCACTCTACATGTGTCACATCATCTACATTATCACAATATCACTCTACATGTGTCACATCATCTACATTATCACAATATCACTCTACATGTGTCACATCATCTACATTATCACAATATCAGTATCACTCTACATGTGTCAAATCATCAACATTATCACAATATCACTCTACATGTGTCACATCATCAACATTATCACAATATCACTCTACATGTGTCACATCATCAACATTATCACTCTACATGTGTCACATCATCAACATTATCACAATATCACTCTACATGTGTCACATCATCAACATTATCACAATATCACTCTACATGTGTCACATCATCAACATTATCACAATATCACTCTACATGTGTCACATCATCAACATTATCACAATATCACTCTTCATGTGTCACATTATCACAATATCACTCTACATGTGTCACATCATCAACATTATCACTCTACATGTGTCACATCATCAACATTATCACAATATCACACTACATGTGTCACATCATCAATATTATCACTCTACATGTGTCACATCATCAACATTATCACAATATCACTCTACATGTGTCACATCATCAACATTATCACAATATCACTCTACATGTATCACATCATCTACATTATCATAATATCACAATATCACTCTACATGTGTCACATCATCAATATTATCACAATATCAGTCTACATGTATCACATCATCAATATTATCACAATATCAGTCTACATGTGTCACATCATCAACATTATCACAATATCACTCTACATGTGTCACATCATCAACATTATCACAATATCACTCTACATGTGTCATATCATCAACATTATCACAATACCAGTATCACTCTACATGTGTCACATCATCAACATTATCACAATACCAGTATCACTCTACATGTGTCACATCATCAACATTATCACAATATCACAACATCACAATACATGTGTCACATCATCAACATTATCACAATATCACTCTACATGTGTCACATCATCAACATTATCACAATATCACTCTACATGTGTCACATCATCAACAT